CTATTCTTGGGAGAGTATTATCTCTGCATTAACTTCAGGACTGTCGAGGAATTCTGCCCACGCGCCATTTACACCTCAGGCAAGGCTTCTTCAGCTGCTGGTCTTACCGCTGCAGTAGTAAAGGCAAGATCTAATGACAATCTGGGCTTTTTATTAACTTATCAAGAAATGAGAATTATAGTTCGCTCAGTTTTATTTGTGATGGCATCTCACTCCGTCAACAGTAGTCTCTTTATTTGCAGGACGAGGAATCGTTTGAATTTGTTATTGAAGCTGGCGCACTTATGCTGGCTGATAACGGCGTTTGTTGTATTGATGAGTTTGACAAGATGGATCCCAAAGATCAGGTTGCTATTCACGAGGCTATGGAACAGCAAACAATCAGTATCACGAAGGTAGTATTTCGTTTCGTAAAGATCGAATTTACGTCTATAAAGGTCAACAGATCACATGGACTGCTCGCAATTCATGACCCATTGCAAACCAGGCGCATTTTTGCATGACAATCTTTCAATTCGAAATCGTCATTGTGCTATTTCATGACGTTTCATTCCAGCTAAATTTTACAGGCTGGTGTCAAAGCCACACTGAATGCTCGAGCGTCCATCCTTGCTGCAGCCAACCCGGTCGGAGGGCGATACGATCGTTCGCGTCCTCTCAAGCACAATGTGCAGCTTTCTGCCCCTATTATGAGCAGATTTGACCTGTTCTTTGTGCTAGTGGATGAATGTAACGAGGTAAGCATGATTTTCGGTATAATCAGTCATTTTTTAAGATATACTTGGTTTTCTATGAAGGATTTTGTTTTTGTAGGTTGTAGATTATGCTATAGCTCATCGCATACTTGAAAATCATCGTGCGATATCTGCTCATCGTGTTCGTGAAACGAAATATTCTACCGATGATATCCAAAAGTATATAACTTTTGCTAAGTGCTTCAAACCAAAGGTAATCACTGTTTTTTCTCAAAATTTTGTTGTTGTTTCTAGTTCCATCACAGTTTTACCAACACAGATAAGTCCGGAAGCTGGTGAAGCTTTGGTAGCCGCATATAAGCGTCTGCGCATGAGCGATAGTAACAATGCCGCAACTTCTTCGTGGCGGATAACTGTTCGTCAACTTGAGTCATTAGTACGTTTGTCTGAGGCACTGGCTCGTCTCCATTGTGCTGCGCAGGTGAAGTGTGGTTCAAATTCAATTTACTGCTTTTTATGCTGAGTTCTTCTATTTAGGTGAGCGTGGAGCACGTAAATCAAGCGTCGAAATTGCTCAATAAGTCGATCATTAGGTAAATCTTATCTTGCTTACGAATTTATACGTTTTCGGTGTTCGGTAATGAGGGTTACGGATTCTCATCTCTTTCAATTCGCTTGGTATCTGAGAGAATCTGAGAAGTTGGGAATAGTTATACCTTAGTACTCTTTTGCCAATTATTTTGCTTCAACAAAGAAAAATCTTGCTCATAGAGAAACTCTATGACAATAGTAAATTGGGAACTTAATAATTGGTCATCTGTAGGGTGGAACAGCCAGATATTGCTCTTGATGATGATTTCGAGATTGAGACAGTAATGGAACGAGATGAAGACAAGGAGAACGAGGGCGAAGCTATGGAAACGGACTTGTATGGAAAGCAAGCAAAAGTGTGTATTCTATAAGATTTGCAAGGTTTTCTTTTGAGTTTCATGCATGGTCTTGCATATAATTTCAAGTTTAAGTTGATCATCTTGAATCCGCGAGATGTTCAGGTTGATTCTTCCAAGTTGAAAATTACTTTCGAGAAGTATAAACGCCTGGCTGATATGCTTGTTCTTCACATGAGATCTGATGAGGAAAGTGTTGACGAGGAAGAGTATGAGGGAGTGCGACAGGACTCACTAGTTGAATGGTCAGTACTTCTTTTCAACTTACTGTGGTTAGTGGGCTCTGCAAGGATTAATAATCTTGTTCAAAGTTATTAGTCACTGCATTCCTACCCATAAGAACAGCCCTAGATAATATAGACGCTACCGCACAGGTGCTTGGCCGGTAACTGTGCACGATCCAGCGTTTACGGAGCGCACAATCTCTATAATTCTTTATTTCTGCCAAGTTTGTCGTCTTCAATGCTCTTCAGGTATTTGGAAATGATCGAAAGTGATTTGGAATCAGAAGAGGACCTAAACATCCAGCGCACCGTTTGCCAGCGAGTCATCCGTCGGCTTGTCACTGAAGATCACGTCCTAATTGAAATGGATTCGGATGAAAAGAACCCTTTGCTTTGCGTTCATCCTAATTATGTTGTTACTGACCAATAGATCTCTCAATTTGATTGCGCAACCGGTTTGTGAACTTTTTTGCTGCTAACATCATTATGCTACTTTGATATGATTTTCATAACCTCTAATTGTTACTTTCATAGTCTTCTATCTACCATTGATCTCCGTGGTGTAGCAGATTACAGAAATTGTCTGACTTCTTTTTTCTAAAGTTGGATCTTGCTTTTCTTTCCATGCCTTTTCGGAACACATTATATCGATACCGCTTTGTGGAAGTCTAAATTCAATCACTTTTGGTAGAAGCAAATTTTTTGTTCTTTATCAGAATTTGCTCATTTTTTTCTTTGCATATGGCAGCAGAACACAGAGACATCATTGCTTATTGACGTTGTTTTGCCGCAAACGATATAGATTGATGAACTTGTCATGTGCTTTGGTTTGTTTTTCTCTAAGTATTGAGAGCAGATCATTGAAATTCATCTAAACTATTAGCTCAATGTAAAGACAGTGTGCGGGCAAATTTTTAACTCTTTCCCACATTTGGGTGCTGAACGCGATTATCAACTACTACCGTGAAGTTGAAAAAGAGAGGTATCGCAATGTTTTTTTTCCGTAAGCGCCTATGCTTCTATGAGAGAAGCCAAACATTGATGATACTGAGGAGGAAATCGCTGAATGATGGGCTGACCCGAACAAAGCGTTTTTCTCACTTACCATGACGAATTATTCGCCTGAATTGGGGGGAGATTCGGTCAGAGAGTCTTTTCGTCAGTCAGTTGTGCTCGGGCATGTACAGCTCTGTAGATATTGTTTCAATACTTGGTTGCACAATCGCGGCTATTAATAGAACATGGCAAAGTCGGAGGAGTGATTTGTGAGTATGTATCACGATCGTGGTTCACGGTGGCCATTCAGTCCGGCCCTTCCTTCAGCTAGAAAACAATTCAATATGAAAATTGGAAGTTTCCAGATTTCAATAATGTGAAATAGCGTGCGCACTGTTAAGGTCTTACCTTGATCAGCTGATGTAGTGTTCAACTTCAAAGTTTGCGTTTTGTTAAAGGAAAATTCGATATTTTTTGTCTGCAGGCATGGTACTGTTGATTAGTATCGTTTACGAAACATGGATCATGACATCCATCCGAGCGCAACATCTTATCTGCATTACTCTTGTCGTAGGGACTTCTCACGAAATTAATGACAACTCATGAAGACTGTTCCTCAATTCCTTATAAATCTCTTCAAGGATACAATTCTTAAAAATAAAGAGTGGATTTGAAAGTAGCATCTCGCGTATTTCGCAGTAAGCAAATCCTACCGTTGCTCAAGTTTTCCGCGAATTCGATGCGCTATCAGCACCGGTCATTGCAAAAACCTTGGAGTGGCCCAAAGATAGTTTCAAGAAATGTCACCTTCTTTGAGAGAGGGTATAACACATACATTGGAGAATTGGATTTTCTGATTATCAACGCTCTAGTAAAAAAAGTATCTTGAATAAGCTTGCAAAAGAAAGCCCATATGCTCTCTTCTGTGGAAACGTTGACGATGTTTTCTTTTAACGATTTACTGAAGGAAGGCGCAGAGGTCATTTTTCCCGACACTAAAGCTCGTCAACAACATAAAATGAACATCAACTTCTCAGTCTTCACAACGGATTTATCATATTACCGTATTGGGCGGTTAACGTGCCGATTGTTACTACTTTTTGCTTTCTTAGGACAGAACTAATTTCGTAACAGACAGAATTCGCACACAACATACACGCATACAGACAAATTAAGCGCTTTATCATAAGTCGATATTTATTAATTGCGGCGTGGGAGCACGTCTACTAATTTTGGTTAACGTATCTCTGTTTTCGAGTGGGTGTATGATGAAGGTAAATTTTCGGGAGGGCTTATAAAGAAGGATTCCCGCCCAACTTCGGTGGCGTTTCGTTTAAGTGCGACCGAAGAAAAACTCTTCCATTCTGGGCTTGAAATGAAGCTGAAGTGTCAAAACCGTTCAAGGCATTGTTCGGAAAAATTTGCTCCGGATTTTCCAGCTTTTCTAGTCCATTCGGTGTTAAATACGCATAGCAACTTGTAATTGTGAATTTATCAAGAAAAAAAAAA